TCATTCTGAAGCTTGGCCAGCCGGATGATCAATGACGCAGACCAAAACCAAGCGACGTGTTCTTTCAGGGGTGTTTTAGAGGTTTCTCTTTTCCATCAAACATCAACAACAAACTGGTGAGCCATTTTTGCTCAGGGGCTTCAACACAAACCGTGTTTCGCCCCTAGATCAAGGACATTTCCAGGGAGAGGGGTTTTGAAGTTATGGATGCTCGTTTCTTAAAACCATTGTAAGCTTGCAAGGCAGTATATATCCCTCAAGTGGTATTTCTCACCTCCATGCCTCCAAAATCCCTCTCACTGATGTCATTGCATATTGAGTTCGAACGTACCAAAATATCTTAATGAGCATTGTACTTAGAAACTAGGTAATACCCTGGTGAGATAACCCATGGGTATAAGTCTCCGTTCAGTGGGTTCTCTCACCAGGCTTACTAACCACTTGCCTGACAAACCGAATCGATCGCCCCTTCAAGTAGTACGATCGCCTCCTTGCGAGCTAAAGCATCTTCTATCACCTCAGTAGATGCATCGCACAACTCATGCGCCTTGAAGCCTCTGCGCAGAACCGTGATGAGTATGGCACCCATTGATGAAGCCAAACATGTACAAGCCAAAATGAAGCAACATGAATATCAGCGTTTCATAGAGTATAACAATCAGACTCGCATTTCAAAGGAAGTTTCCACTTTGGAGGTTCAATATATCATTCATGGAAGGGGACAGGTTTTGCGCCTTACACTTCTACGCACCTAGCGACAGCTGCGTTCCCCGCCATACCGATGGTTGCATCGTTGGAGAGGACTTGATCAAGCCGCTGGTGAAGAGCGCCTCATGATCCTGGTGGGTGAAAGATCGCTCCCCGGAGCGGAAGGAAGCCAATGGGTCTACCTCAATCCAATACGACTCCATGTGGGGCCGTGATATAGTTCTATTTATGGGAAGCCCGCTGTTCCTCTCAGAGACCCCAAATGGTTTGGCTTTCCTTTGAGACCGTAAAAAAAGAGGGGGTTTTAAAAACATGGGACCTCCCCTTTCCCCGGACCCCAAATTCGTCGTTTTCGCTTTGGCGTTCCTTTAAAACCCCCCAAAAGAAGGGGACGAAAAGGAAAAGAGTCTTTGAGGTCGGTGGACAGTTGGAAAACCAAAGGACGACATGCCCTTTTTGGGGGGTTCAAGTTCCGATTCTGAGAACGCTCGTATGTGTCCCTTTGGACCAAGCTCCTTTTTGTGGCTCTGGATTTTCGAGCAGCTTTTGGACTCGTTTGGTTTTTCTCGGTTAATGGAAGTTGGAGGGAGGCCTTTCAACAAGGAAAGGGATGTTTGGACGGTTTTCCTCGCATAGAGCCGGAGGCTCTTGAGCCTTGTTTCCCCACTTTGTCTATCCCCTTCAATCATGGGTGTACCTTTTGACCTGCGCTTTGAAGACGTGCGGGGAGCCGTGCGGGCACATGGCAGCCCTTCGGGACCACAAAGACTGTGGAAGAGGCTGGCCGGCTGCTGGCGCCAGGTGTGGCCGTTCTTGAAGCCGAGACTAGTCAATCAGGTAGGCCTTGATGTTGACCCCATATTCCTCAACCAATTCCGATTTATTAAGAGTGGGTGGTTAGTGGCCCCAAAAGTGGTCTGATTCCAACTTCATTTCACCGGGGAAAAGCACCCCCACTGCTAATACACTGGGGTTGATTCATATGGGGTCCACATTCGTTGGTGCTTTGGATTTGGGTTTGATGCTCTGGTTCTGGAGGGCCAATTTGGACTTTGCCACCTTCGGAACACCTCCAAACCACCTATCTAAATCACCCGGGGTTGACTAATATGGGGTCGAATTTACTTAGTGACCTACTTGGTTCAAGCTGGGTAAGGGACCATTTGAGCTTCTCCACTATTGGGGGTAAGATGAGTCAAAGGATTTCGGCTCATTCCCCTTGCTGGAGCCTGCCGAGCAGAAAGAAAGAAGCTGCGGTAATCATGCCGCGGAAAAAGAATCGTGGTCGCCAATGCGTGACTTGTGCGGATCTCAAGACCTGGGCCGGTTCTGAAAGAAAGGGGGAGGTCAATGCAAGATGGGTGCGTCCTTTTGTAGGGACCATCAAAATGGTGGGTTTCCTTTGAAGCTTTCCTAAGCTACAAGAAAAGGTGACCCCTCAAGAAGTTGGCACCAGATTTTGCAACCAAGGATCAACACGTCTCTCTCTTTTTTTTTTCTTTTTTTTTTCGACCGGGGTGGCAGCCACCACCCCCAAAGTTGTTTCCTGGGCTGAAAGTGGTTTCTGCGGATGTCCGATCGAGCTCCTGCACTGCTGGCTTGCCACTTTTCACCCAGAAGTGGATGGGAATTGATGGCGTTCTTCGTGCGTCCATGTTCGCCGTGCACGAAAAGGAAGCGCATGGATTTGCCGGGAAGGGGATCCGTGGAGGAACCTTGCGCCAGTTTGCGGCGTGCGTGTGGTGTGTGCTTTTGGTTAGGGGACCCCCAAAACAGTTCTCCCTTTTGGGTTTCCTTGCAAGCCGCCCCAAAAAGGGTACCCTGCAGAAAAGACGCACCCTTGTAGGCCATTTGATTGGACGTGGCCAAGGGAGTTGCCCCCCATTTGGTTGTGACAATCTCACTTGGTCAGGGGGGCGTTTTCCAGAAGCCATGGGGCGGCTGAGTCCTGTGCAGGGGGGTCAGGTCAAGCGAGGGGTGGTCAAAAAAACCGCGCAGCCCAAATTCGAGCGCTGCAAAAGCCAGATGTCGCAAGCGAGAAGCGATGGTCCATCCAGTTTTTCAGCAAGCCTCGAGTCGATCGAACCAAGGCAGCGGGCTGGTGCTCCCAGTATCTGAGTGCCCGCCCATTTTCTCTTACCAATCTCGAGGCAAGGGGGTTGCTCGGCAAGGTTGGCCTGAACTGGCTTGAGAGCCAGAGAGAAGCACCGAATTTCAGCAAGACGCGTTACGGAACGGTTGGGCCAACCCTGCGACTTGGTGCAAGCGTGTTCGCGTGCGATGATGTCAGGGGACAATGTCTTGCTGTATTTTGCAGGCAGACTTTGGCACTGCCCACATTTGCACCATAGTGTTCATTACATTCTTTGGGCCATCGCCAACAAAATGTGGCTCGATGCTGCGCTCTCCTTAGCAATTTGTATTGCTCCTCCCGAGCCGCGAGGCCTTTATCTTGGCTGCCTTTCGCAGCTGCCGCCTCGCTCGGGAGGACCGTGGCCAGTGTGAGGAAGCCGCAAATCCCAGGCGACACCACACTGTCCCGCCCCAATCCCCTTGTGGTGCATACTTTTCCATCAAGGGGGCCCTTTCTGCATGTGTTGTCCCTTGGCCATTTGTAGCCCGCGCAAAGAAATTCATTACATCTATTTCGCGGGGGGTGGGGATCCGCCACTTGGACACCTGCGCACGGAAGCTTTTTGCTTCCTGCGCTTCCGTTCCCGTTTCACCGCAGCACTGCGACCCCTGCCTCAAAAGTCCAGTTCGGTCGCAGGTTGTGTGGGTGAGGGGCGAAGGCCTTCAACGAATCAGCTTGATAAATGCGAACCCCGAATGAGGATTTGTTGCATTGAGTTGCTTTTGTTTTGTATTGTTTTGCTTCTCTCTTTTTTTTCCCTTGCTTTGTTTAAGCCCTGGCTGATGAACAGGTTGTCGCCTTTCATGCAGAGAATGTTGCCATGCCTACGAGGAGAAGCCTTTTTGGTCGCAAGGGGACTTTGATCCAAGGTGCCCTTACACATGCTACAGAGAAATTATTTGGACCTGGTGGCCAGGGGTAAAGGGCACCGGTTGCAAAGGGTACGCTTGCAACTAACTCACCGATTTCGACCGTGGCTACCCTTGACACAGATCGCATTTTTGAAAATCGGTTTTCCAAGAGAACTCCTTTCTTTTGGCATCATGATTTGACATCATACCCTGGAAAAAGGTGGGGTTTTGGGAGTAGGGGATAAATGTGGAATGAGTCATGCATTTTGAGGCTTTTGCAGCTTGATTTTTTGTCAATTGAAAGTACGGAGTACTCGCCTGTAAATGTTTACATCGCGCCACTTTTAGGAGACCCAAAAGAGAAGTACTCTAGAAAGGAATGTGCTTTTCCTGGGTATTTTGTCAATTCCTGAGTGAGCAAGTTGGTCTTTCCATGGAAACTACGTTTTCCATGTGATCCTCGCAAGACGTTGAGAAATAAGTAGGCCGGGTGAGACCAGAAGACGCTTGACGACGGTTCACAGCAACATGGCTTTGGGCGTGATTTCGCGCTGTGGACTGGGTATCCATGGACATCCACGGTTTCAAGACTTGGTGGCTCAACCAGCCATTTGGTTCCTCGGCTTTTTAGCTTTTGAGCTTTTTAGGGTTTAGTGGACCACTAAAAGTTAGTCACTTTTAGCAGGGGATCTGATAACGGACATCCCCGTATATTCAATGTTCCATCGACAGAAGTCTAGTTGTCTTGACAACTTTCACTTGCGGATGTACCCCTTTCAATGGGGATCTCACGGGCTGCAGGGGAGTGATTTTTCAGGTGTCAGTTTGGCTGATTTTTTTCACCGATACTCCCAGTTCCTGAGATCCGTTTCGGACTTTATACTTTTGGGAAGACCATTTTAGTGGGAAACAGAAAGTTTGGACCTTTTTTTGGGTCAGGAAGTGAGTACTGGGTTTTAGTTTGGTTCTGTGCCATGCATTTTGCTTCAAAAGGAGACCTATGCCGGGAACCCTTTCAGTCCTTTCCAAAAGTACAGGACCAGAACTCTCTCACAACATTTGAGCTTCCCCTTTCTGCGATACAAATGTCTGGTGCCCCCCCCGTAACCAAAAGGCTTCAGGACTCTTTCGCGCCACCAAAACGAACCTTGCGGCACCGGAAAAAAGAAGAAAACCCATAAACCAGTCCACCAAGAAGCAAACCTGTCCACTCCACCCCAGAAAAGGGCTCCAAACGCCAAAGGACGCTCCCTCAGAAAAAAAGAAGAAGAAACAACCAAAAAACAACAACAAAAAACCTTCTTTCCCCGCGGTGATCTTCCAAAGGGTCGCACAAAAAGAAGGGCCGCGGAAGAACGCGCGGGCCCCGCCATGGCGAGATGAGCGTGACGCGTTCCAGCAACAAGTGCCAGGCCTGGGAGCGACCGATCGCGATCGCTGAGCAAATCGATATGGAAGTCCTCAACGAAGTAGACTTAGACACCCCCAAAAGTACATTTATATGTAAAAAGACGGCTAAAGGAATACGCATATTATTCTCCTACATTGCAAAAGACAGAACAAAAGCACATGTATATGTATTAGAGGCTAAAGGAATAACCTGATTATTCTCCTACATTGAAACAACAGGAAAGCCCGTGTATATTTATATTCTCTCATGTTTTATTCTCCTATGGTCATGGCCAAATTTCAAAATACCCCATACGCCTGTTGTCATTGAGAAGAAGGGCCCTGATACCGTTGGCTTCTTTTTTCCGGAAGTTCCCTTGGGAGAAATCTTTTGGAGAGATGCCGGTCGTATGCTTGAGTTGGAGTCCTTTCGTTAATAGCAGACCCGTACAGCCCAGCGGTGGATTCAGAATGCTCGGATCGCGATTGGGGGTCAAGTCAACAAGTTTACCATTACTCTTTGACACAACCGGCATGGGTGGATCGCCTTGTTTAGGATTCGGACCCGAAGGAGCCACGTCCTCAAAACCAATTCGGGTAATTGGAGGGCAGTAAGGGACAACCAATTGCCATAAGTGGGTGCGGATATCCGGCTTTCAATTCCTAAAGCATGATTCTGGGTCGAAAATTTTAATCCCTGGTTTTGATTATGGCTCAAATGGTGGTGGTCCTTTGGGTTTCGCTTCAAAAACCCGTAAAGAAAAGGTGCACACACACACAGATACACGCGGACAATAAAGAAAAAAAACTCTTCTCCAGTGGTGCCCCTTGGTCCTCTCTTGTGGGGGGGTTCAAGGCAAACTTGGCCCATTTTTCGTATGCGCCATGGTCAAAAGATCAGTTCCTTAACTTGAAGTTAATGTTGGGATGGTCATTCACCTGGTAGTAAGCATCCTTAGTGACCATGATGATTCCCATGAAGAGAACCATGGCCATGGGCCACATAAGGAGCTTTGACCACGGCTCACATGGCCACCGGAGAATGGGGTGTTGATCTGTTGAAAAAACCCGGTTTCTCGAAGTCGCAAAGCACCCACCACTTCCCGCAAGGCGTTTTTTGATCGGTCCAGGGTGTTGATCCTGAAGGGAGCTGTGAAGAGGGTTTCTAGCTTCTACACACCTCCCAAAGAGTTCCTCAAAAAGGTCTTGATACTCTGTGTAGCTCAACAAATCGCTACGAATACCCATGTTGGGGGGATTCTACTTGTGGAGTTTCCTTTTAGTAATTATGTGTTTTGGGGGTTTTCCATGTTAATCTCCAGTTCATGGTTTGGATTGGTTCTTTCGGGATTTGAGACATTGTTTCTTGTGGAGGGTATATGGGAAACTATCCCAAACCACCAATTAACATAGAACCTGACAGGGGGGTCCTCCACCAAACCAGCGAATCCAAACCACCGAATCCAAACCACTGAATCCAAATCACCAAATCCAAATCACCAAGAAGCGAGGGAAGCTGAGAATCTGCAGATGACAACTCGGGACTCGCGGCAGGTAGAGTTCCTCGAGCCCGAACTTCCGGACATCCGGGCTCCTCTGGTCGATGGGATCGGAATTGGTGGCGGTTCTGGCGAAAGGTTCGGTTTTCTGGGGAACCAAAGGGAAAGCAAAGGGACTCATCGAACTCCTCATTCCCCTTTTTTTTGACGCCCGCGCCCAATTTTTTTGGAACCCAACGGGTTTCGTTTTTTTTCCTAAAGCGAAGGGGGGCACAATTTGTGCTACGCCTCTCTTTGTGCGCTTCGGTTCTGGAGGCCCGTTCGCTTCCTGAAAAGTGGCGAGGTCTCGTCTCAGCCGGCGCTTCGGTCCGTTTTTCGCTTCTCCCCGAAAGCTTCTCTCGACCCGGGCGGCGGGTCGCTCTTGGTTTTTGAGGTTTGGATTCCCGAAAGGGAGGTCGGTGTTCATGTTGGGCTCGGCGCTAAGACCAACTTCAGGAAGGGTACCCTCAAAAAAGACAGACCCACGTAGCTGAGTTCAGTGAGTTTTGATAGCTACCCCTCCAAAGTTTCAAAGATGGACATGCATCTCGGCGCAGATGATGCAAGCCAGGGGATCCAAAATTACACAGCATACTCAAATCAGTGTGTCTCCCAGTTGGGCACACCCAGCAAATCGTGACCCCGTGGTCATTTTATGAGCACCACAAAGCCCGCCATTTTGTGTCAGGGAGAGTAGGGCAACTTTTGCTCAACCAGGCTTTTCCGCTTTAAAACTTGGGCCTGGATTCCAGCACCCCCCGCTTAGAGGAATCTGACACCGAGAACGATTTCCCAGACCAAAACTCAACAGGCACCTGGGGCTCTAGTGGCCTTCATGTACCTGAGAGACGTGAAATTATTTCTTGGGCTGAACGTCGAAGCACCGAAGTCGAAATCACTTGTTGAGAGCGGCACAGATGGATGCCACCCCTGAAACATATTGGCATGAAATGGTGAAGCTGCAGAAACACGGAGGATCTATTATTCAGGTGCGAGCTGGAGATATTCCACTCATCAGGGTGGCTTGTTCTGAAAAAGATCCCAACCCCCTGCTTCCAACTTCCCACCCTGCCTTCCATTTGCTGAAATGAACCTGTTTCTATTTTCCTCTAGATTTCGAGAGAATCTAGCACTACCGGACATATGTTCTCATTTTTTCCAGGAGACTGAAGCAACTGGAAGCTTCCCATGGTTTCCTCCAAAGACCTTTTTGTTTGCGCAGTTTGGTGTGAAGATATCTGGGGTCTCCGCCAATAGCATTTCTATGCTAGACAAAACATGAACAAGCATCTGAACATGTACTTTCTGCGTTCCCCAGATGTGGGCCAAGAACAAGCGGGTGTGCAACAAAGGGCACCAAACCCCGCTTTAGCCCTTCAACAGTGAGCTAAGTAGGTAAAAGGAAACAACCAGCCAGTTTTTGAGCCCCTCACTGTCAAAATGGGGGGGTGATCAATATCCCCCAAAGGACCACGGGCGACTTTTCCCATGTGGAAGATTCATCTGTATTTTGTTTCGTGGCTTTCCAACCAATGGTCATGCCAAGTGTTTTTGGTCTGGGCTATTGATCAAGCTCCAACAAATCACTTTTGGGACCTTTTGATCAAGCCCCAAATCGGGGAACCAACCCATCTGACTTCAACACCGTCAAACTCCCGACCTTCCAGTCGTTGCGGCGTGCCCTCGCTCGCACGTCGGTTCCCCGAGCATAGGACCCGCGGCTTTTCGCCGCGGCGCCGGCGCCGGCGCCCAGCGCTGCCAGCGCGCCTTTGGCGCGGGAGCCGTCGCCGGAGGCGGTGGGCTTGCTGTGGCCCGGCCTGACGGCGCGAGAGGTAAGGAGACCCTGGGCGGTTGAATGAACCGGTTTTGGTTGGATTCCACAAATAGAAAATAGGAAATGGATTCCTTAGAGGAAGCCATAGAAAATAAAAAGTTCCCGAAAGGAAACCATAGATTGGATGGTTTTGCGCGGGATCATTCCATCTCTCGTTCCCTGCCTATCGAACCAGCAAGTTTCACCAAGGGAAGTGCGCAGTCGTCCCTTTCGAAGACCCGGGGCAAATTCAGTACAAATGGGTGGCTCGTCTTCTTGGAGTTAGTCCTCCTCTGGGGGTACAGGAAAATCCAAAAGGAACACCACCATATTTTTTTGGGTGGTGGAATTTCCCTTAAAAAAAGGTGACGCATGGCTCCCCCTCAAAGATGGTTGCCAAGTTGTTATTTTCTTTTTGGGGCCTCGAAAAGCGGCAGCTGATTTTTCGGTGCAGCCTGAAGGGGGAATCCAGTCAACAGATGCGCGCACGGCCAGAAAATATGGGCCCCCTCACTTTCCTCCAACCGAGTTGTTCATTGGTTCTTGCCCGATATGACATGAGGCTGTCCTGCTTTTTTCCCCGCCCCTCCAATCTTGATGGGAATTTTGTCTCTAACCGGTGGAATCCACACATCGGTGCTTTCCATTTGCATCCGTGTAAACTGAGACCCAGATAATATATTCGAACAAAGCTACATGCCCACACACAGCTTTGGTCAGGTGAATAAGCACCCAACTGAGTGACACGCCATACAGTTGCACCTTTGTGTTTCCGATTTTCTTTTCGGCCACACCGGGGAGTCGGGCAGGCTGCTTTCTGGAAGTCGTCTCGTTTCTGGAATTCGGCTCCCCAGATGTGAGGCAATGCGCGGTGGCGAAGCAGCTGGGGCGTTCCGTGAAGAAGGCGGCCGAGGGAGGTCCGCTTCGGGGGGAAGCTTCACAGGTACACCACCCCAAAGCCCTTGGAGGTTCAACCAGCCATCCGGTTCAGCTTTTTATATCTTTTTTAGCTGGTTTAGTGGTTGGGTTTCCGAATTTAGCCCACAAGTAAGACTCACTGTTAGGGACCTGGAAACGACAGCCCAGTTTCGCGTCGGTTTAAAAAGGAAGCAGAAGGCGCGCCGTCCATAGGCGCAATTTTCGCCAGATGCCATTTTGTCCTTCCCCCAGATAAAGCTACCAAAACGCCTGGTGATCTGTCCGACCCATTCCTCACTCCCTGAGTTGCGTTTCGGACTTTAGAGTCACTTTTTGGGTTTGGACCATTTGAGTGGTAACCAAGACAACTGACATTTTGCGCCAATCCACTCGTTCCCAAGTTCAGGTACCCCTCAATTGGTGGTTTGGATTGGTGGTTCACCCCGGAAGACCACCAAACCACTGATTCGGCTCCAAACCACCAATTGGAGTGATTCTGGGTGCTTCTCAAAATGGTGAGCTGCCTTTTGCTTGGTTTCTACACGGGAACCAAGAGGACACCACCATTTTTTTTCGGCGGAACCCTATTTTGTACCTCATGGTTCCCAGCCATTTTTTTCGCCTTTTCATTTGCTTTGGCGGTTAAATTTCCGTTTCACCCACTAGAAGTGAGTCTCTTTTGGGGGATTCGAAAACGGACAGCCCAGTGCACGCTTAAAAGCTTCGTTTTCTTGTTTGGCCCATCCACTGCTTCGGGGTTTACGAGAGCTGACCGCATTCTGAGCGAAGGGCGATGTGGAGTACAGCTTCGAGGTGGCTGCGGGGCAGTTCGTGGCCACAGTGGTGCTCCCCGAGGAGCCGATTTCCGGGCGCCGATCCGGGGGGTCGAGTTGAATGAGTTGGATGAGTTGGGGATGTCGCGAAAGGTAGCGATAGCCAACCTGGAGTTCTTTGCTTTAGCAAGTGTAGGGGCAACTTCCCCAAAAGTTTGTGATATATCAATTATTATTATGTTTTTTGGGGGGGGGCCGTTCTCAAGTCTTGGCATTTCCCAGCCAGGTTTTTACACCGTGTGCGCTTGGGTTCAGTGGTTGGGTGTCCGAGTTGAACTCGCTAAAAAAGAGTCGCCTTGAGCAGGGGATCAGTTTGGACCGCCCAGATTTTAGCTTCACGTCGACCCCGGAGAAAGCAGACCTGGGTTGAGCTTGACGGGAGGAGGTTCCCTTTTTGGGGGCTCAGACCACTTTTTAGGAGGGGAACGCCCATATTGATAGGACGGCATTTGCTTGGGTCCGGGGTCACCGTGACTTTTGGGCTTAGCATCATAGTCGCACCGAGTGCGGACTTCCCGTTTTTGGCCAGTCCACTCCGGTGCGGGTGTCCAAACTCAGGGGGGCCAGAGCACCCCTTTTACCTTTTTTTTGGGGTTGTCTGAAGCAAAGGGAAGCCCAAAGGCGAACCAAGAAGAGTTTGGGGGAGCAGCTTTTGGAACAAGCCAGATTCCCTGGTGCGATGTGAAAGAGCAAATAATTCCAAGTTTTTACTGAGCCAACATCTCACATGCACCCCCTGCCCCCCCAAAATGCGGTTGTGAGGGCAGAAATCCAAGGATCCTTTGGACACCAACTATTCACCCTTCCGTTCTTGTTTCTCGACACTGATGACATGACGCAGACGGATTCATGATGATCAAGTTTTCTTGAGGCTTGTTGGCTTAAATGGCTAGAATGGACTTGACTAAAATCCCCGCCCCTCAAATATGGAATTGGTGGAGGGTGGTGACCCCTGGAATTTCATTTATGGTTCCATTTTCCCTTTCACGGGAAGGCTAGATAAATGGAATTGTGTCCCGGACCCCCTCCCAAGGTAGGTGGGATGACCAATCCTGGGTTTGCACGCCTTACTTGTGTGCTTCCTATGGCCATGCCCTTCGCGGGTGGCTTGAACTTGACAGATGGCCGCTTAAGTCACGGGTTGACTAAATCTTCATTAAAGCGCCAGGTCAGGATCTACTCGCTGTTTTGCTGTACTTCATGCTGAGCCTTTGGTAACATTTTTGGCCACAGCTTTCCCCGCCCATGGGAGAAATTAGATCCTCACCTCCTGAGTTCATGAACTTTAAAAACTTTTTGGGCTTGGACCATTTTAGTGGCAATTATAAAGTTTGAACTCAGCCACCCACTCAGCCATCCACTCAACCACTGACGTTTTGGGCCTCGGCCAGTGAGCATCTATTCTTGGTCGCCGGTCGCCTCCGGCTCCTCCGGTCCGATCGATCGCGTTGGGGCGTAGGGCCGAGCTTTCGGCTTGAAGCTTTGGGGTTGAAAGCGAGACCGGCTGCGGCGAATTCAAAAAACCGGAGGTCCGAGATGGGCTGCCCGATCGGTAAGTGGAGACATGGGTACCAAAACCTGCGGTTGGCCGGCCCCTCCGGTTTAGTTTTGAGCCACACCCAAACACGAGACGCAGTTTCGTTCCGCAGTCGACCATGCAAGTTGGATTCGGAGTCAACCTTTTCTTTTCTTTCTTCCGGATGGGCAGTGCCACCCTGGAAACGATGCCAAAAAAAAAGCCGAAGTGTCCAGCCCAGAGGGTTTCGGGCCGCCCGTCCCTTTCTAAGTGGCGATGAGTTTTGGGGTTTCCACCGATTCGGCGAGGGCACAGAGAACAAACAAAACTCGCGATCGGTGCGAGAGGTGGAAATGAGCCCGGCGCCCTTGAATTGGAACCCAGCAGTTGGATGGTTTGTATCACGGAGGCTTGGCGCCTTTGGGTGGCTAGCTCGAGTCCTTTTGTTGCGTTAGCAAGGCTCCTGTTAGGGGTGTGTGGGGGTGTGTGGGGGGGGAGGTACCCCCCTCAAATGTTATATATATATATATATATATGTATATATATATATATATATACACATATCCGACCCCGCCTCCCTGATCCCCTGCTGAGCACCCGGCAGAAAATCTGGCCCGGAACACTGGCAGAACCAGACTGGCTGTGGTCAAAACCGCTGTGGTTGATCCCATTTTGGTCGGTGGGTGAATTCACCACCCATTTTAGGCCTATTTCAGTGGTTGGATAAAACCAATGGTGCCATTTTGGTTGGGATTGGTGAATTCACCACCCATTCTAGGCTTCCGATTTTCGTGGCTGGATCGAATCGGATGTTCACTGGGGCCCATGGAGCTGAGGAGCTGCAGATGGGGCCCTTCAAGGGTGATCCCGAGGTCAAGAAGGAGACTGCGGGGATTCGTCGCCCAGATTTTTCGGAACAACCCCACGGGTCGACCCCCCAAGACGAGCCACATCCCAAAAACGTAGGTGTCGTGCGTGTGCGTGCCACACACACAAAACAATGCAGATGTACAGACAGACTCTAGGCTATATTTTTTTTTTAAATACGATAGTATGTAAACATGGATGAATGATTACGTGTATGCGCAGATATGGCGATATACCATCCACTTACACCGGTGCTGTTCCTGTGGCCGGTGGTGCAAAGCGCCGCACGACAATCACACAATTCAACGTCCCCAAGCTTCTTCCTCCTTCTCCCGAAGGCTTGAAGGCGGGCGATCCCAAGGTACTGGTGACATGTTCATTCTCCGTCAGTGTGCGGCGGGGAAGTCTCTACAAGCTACAGTGGATTGCCTAGATGCAGGTAGCGTAAGAGGGAGCCTGTTCCCTGACTGTAATGTGGGTATATGTGAAAACCAGACTCAGACCTATTTGCTTCATGTTACAGAACCAATGGGACTGCAAACAGACGCCTTGAGAGTTCGTCGTGACACATTGCCACTGCAGGGTTGCCCCCGCTCCCTATGCTCTTTCTGTTGGTTGAAACATCACTTGCTTGGCAACAGCAAGCGATTGAGGTTGGCCTCAGCCCTTTCTTGAATTCCTTCTTCCCTTCCTCCCTCCCTCCCTCCCTCCCTCCCCTCCCTTCCCTCCCTCCCTCCCTCCCTTCCCTCCTTCCCTCCCTCCCTCCCTCCCTCCCTCCCTTCCTTCCTTCCTTCCTTCCTTCCTTCCCTTCCTCCCTTCCTTCCTTCCTTCCTTCCTTCCTTTTTTCCTTCCTTCCTTCCTTCCTTCCTTCCTTCCTTCCTTCCTTCCTTCCTTCCTTCCTTCCTTCCTTCCTTCCTGCGTTGGCCTTCCTGCACATGAGACATGTTTTGTATCGAGAGAGAGAGAGAGAGAGAAAACAAAGATGCGCATATGCATTATATATACATATGGTTGTGTCCTTTCTTGATGGTACCGTTTTGGGTGTGATTGTTTTGAAGGGACACCAACAGGAACCCGAACTCCGTTGTGGGGGTCCACTCAAAAAGAGAGATCTGCATACACTTCATCATTGTTGGCATTTTGTTATTTTTTATTTTTCTTTTTGTTGGTTCTGTTCATTTTTTATCGGGCTGCAAAAAACAGTCCGTCTTTTGCAAGCCCATGCCAAGGGTGTCAAAAGTAAGGGACCTCCCCCAAAAGAGGGTGATGCAACTTAGATAGTTTCCCTGTCAACCAGCCCCCCAAAAGGGTACAGCCTTGGTCCAAACGGATTGGTCGGCAAGTACTTGAGTTTTCAATCCCCAGGTGCATGAAGGTTTGCGCTCGTCCCAACCAAAGGGTGCCGATTGAATTTACATTCTAATGCCGGCCGGTTTTGACTGTTTTGTACAGTACCAACCGCCAATCCACCTTAGCCATATTTCCCCCATATTTCCTCTTAACCGGCAAAAAGTTAAAAGCTTTTTGATGGTTAAGCTTTTTGGGAACCGGTGTTGTTTTTTTTTACTAGCCCCGGCTCGGGGCTTAACCCCGGCTCGGAGACTGGCTGGTTGGTTGGTTGGTTGGTTGGTTGGTTGGTTGGTTGGTTGGTTGGTTGGTTGGTTGGTTGGTTGGTTGGTTGGTTGGTTGGTTGGTTGGTTGGTTGGTTGGTTGGTTGGTTGGTTGGTTGGTTGGTTGGTTGGTTGGTTGGTCAGCTGGGCGGCCGCATCCCAAGCATTTCCGGTTTCTTGTCACGGATGTGTATGGGGCATGACTTGATGCTCGGGATAGCTGGCCGCATCGCCAGCATTACTGGCCTCACTCGGACGAGAGCTGCCTATTGGCTTTGAGTTGCCCCAAACCACCAATCCTAGCCCAAACTTGCAGAACCATCCCTGAAGCAACCCAAAACCGACCCAACGTCAACCTGAACCCCTCCCAACCGCATCCTGCATATCGGCCCTTTGCCGAGGCTAAATGAACCCCAAACAAACCCAAGACCCGCCCGCATTAATATCTCAGCAAGCCCAACACTCACCCCAAACCAGCCCCGATCAACCCTGAACTGCCACCAAATCAAAGCCAATAGGCAGCTCTCATCCGAGTGAGGCCAGTAATGCTGGCGATGCGGCTGGCTATCACGAGCATCAAGTCATGCCCCATACGCAGCCGTGACAGGAAGCCGGCAATGCTGGCGATGCGGCCACCGAGCCGGGGCTAGTAAAAAGCCGGGGCCAGTAAATAAAAAACAAACTCAACCAGCTTTTTGCTGGGGGATCTACAGCACCCGAGATTTTGGGAAGACCATTTTAGTGGCAAATATAAAAAGTTTGGACCTTTTTTGGGCCATCCACTCAGCAAGTGAGGTCTCCCTTCAAGAATGGGTTATCCTAAAGGTGCAACGGCTTGCCGGCTGGAGGCCGGTGCCAAGAAGTCCGCGGCGGAGGCAGCGCTGGCAGACCCGGCCGCCTGGCACGTTGCACGTTGCCATTTCGGTCCGGGTCTTCCCTGTGTGACTCTTCCGGGTTGGGGTTTGGGGGGTTGGTTTGGGGGGGGGTTGGGGAGGTTTGGGGGGGGTTTGGGGGGGGGTTTGGGGGGTTTGGAGGGGTTTGGGGGGGGGGGGTTTGTTTGGGGGGGGTTTGGGGGGGGGGGGTTTGGGGGGGGGTTTGCAAACCCCCAAACCCCCCCAAACCCCCAAAACCCCCCCAAACCCCCAAACCCAAACCCACCCAAACCCACCCCAAACCCACCCCCAAACCCACCCCCAAACCCACCCACAAACCCACCCAAACCACCCCACAAACTCCCCAACCCGCCCAAAACCCCACCAAAAACCACACAACCCCCCAACAAAAAACCCACCAACCCCCCCCCCCCAAAAAAAAAAACACACAAAAACCACACAAAAACAACTCAAAAACCACACAAAACTCAAAAACCCACCAAAAACCACGTAAAAACCCCACCAAAACCACCAAAAAAAACACACAAAAAACCACCAAAAACCACACAACAACCACACAAAAACCACCCAAAAACAAACCCCCCACAAACCCCACACAAACCCCCCAAAAAACCCCACCAAAAACCACACAACCCCCCCCCAAAAAAAACCCCCCCTAAAAACCCCACCAAAACCACCCAAAAAAACCCACAAAAAACCACCAAAAACCACACAAACACCACACAAAAAAACACCCAACAACCACCAAACAACCCCACCAAAAACCCACCAAAAACCACCCACAAACCCACCACAAACCCCCCACAAACCCCCACAAACCCCACACAAACCCACCACACACCCCCCACAAACCACTGCTGTACAAATGGACGTCGGGCTTTTTCACATGTTATTAGAGACTGTAAAAGTGTCACCTCAATGCATTCTTAATACATCAAGTGAGGTACCTACGGCTGGATCTCTGTGGAAGGTGCTCCTTGACTTCGATTGCTACTGATGACGCCGCCACATATTGATAGCTTCCCACGGTGAGACCCACCCTCGATGGTCCTTTGGGGGGATCGGTCTGAACAAATAGGCTAGAGTCCTCACCTGGGCTTTGTGAGACGCCTCGCATGGCCGAAGAAGGCGCCTCATCGGACTTGGTGGCTGCGGAGGACTCGATCCTAGACTTCTTGAATGCGGACTATGACCTGATCGACTTAGAAGCCGACATAGTTGAAGGACCATGTCCCGCGGAGCACTATGCTCTCTGTGCTCCTGGCATGTCTGCAACTTGGCGAACGGCAGGCAAAGATCAATTCGTTTTGACGACAGGGCCTCCGTTGATAGCGACCTCTGTGAATGTGAAAGCTTATCTTGGGAGGAAATACACATTGGCAACAACTAGGAGTTGTCAATCGCTAGCTGGACGAATTTTTGGATCCACCCCGGGTAAGCAAGACGTTGCTTCGGTGGCTCCTGCCATAGCCACGTTCATGTTCATGAATCGACTCACATGGACTCGGCCATGCCTAGATGGGAAGGGCCAGGTGCCTGAATACGCCAAGGAAGTCACGGAAGACATTCAGAAAGATGGCTTCGAAATTGGCGCAAGAGCTGTGCAAAGCAAGGCAGTGCACAGTTTATTCTCGGAAGGCGCAATCCGTGAAGGAGTTAGCGTTCTTGCAGCTGTCGGGGCTCTTGGCTATGCCAGGGTGCACGCGTTGGGCGCACTAGCTGGAAAGACCTCTGACGCCATTGCATCTGCAGGGTCTTCGACAATCAGGCAAAGGACGGAAAGTCTGTCAGTGGATGTTTTCCTCGAAAACATCGCAACCAAGCTCGGATTGCAAGTTCGAGAGAAGTCACACCGCGATGCTCTGTATATGTTCATCAAGTGCTTTCGCAGGCACAGCATCGGGCAAGACATTGTGACACAATGTGACTACATCGCAACTGGAGTACCACTGGTCCGGTGCTTCACGGACATGAAGGACCTTCAAGATGAATGGATGGTGGTCCCTGCGCACCCAGCGCTCCTTGTGAAACTGGAGGTCGGTCCTGCACTAGCAAGGTCCTTGATCAGGTCGGTGGAAAGTGCAGAAGCAGTAGTTCTCGGCCCGAGCCCTCCCAGTGGTTGAACGGGGCCGGCAAAAGATCGGGTCACCCTACACTTGCCTGCCATGGACGAACGCATATTTGGACCGCGCCGGCCCAGTGCTGGCACGTTGATCGATGGCGTATTCGAGATTTCTCAGGCCTTGGATGGAGCCCTCGCTGGCACTCGGATTCCAGATCACACTGAAGTGGAAATCGCGATGGGCTGCGACACATACTTCACGCCTGGTCGGTTTACCTTTTATCAGCTGCGGGCTAGTCGAAGTGTCCACGGCCATCGCGGGGGTGAGCGTTCAGTTGATGTGTGGTTGTTCAGCTGCCAGCGCGGCAGTGCCTAAGATTGCATCTGTTGATGGGTTTCAAGAGTTTTGGTTTACAGGGGGGTCGCCACCCCCAAACCCCCCACAAACCCCCCACAAACCCCCCACAAACCCACCACAAACCCACCACAAACCCACCACAAACCCCACAAACCCCCCACAAACCCCCCACAAACCCCCCACACACCCCCCGCAAACCCCCCACAAACCCCCCACAAACCCACCACAAACCCACCACAAACCCACCACAAACCCCCCACAAACCCCCCACAAACCCACACAAACCCCCCACAAACCCCCCACAAACCCCCCACAAACCCCCCACAAACCCCCCCACAAACCCCACAAACCCCACAAACCCACAAACCCCCCACAAACCCCACACACCCACCACAAACCCCCCACAAACCCCCCCCCACAAACCCCACACAAACCCACCACAAACCCACCACAAAACCCCCCACAAACCCCCCACAAACCCCCCACAAACCCCCACAAACCCCCCACAAACCCCACACAAACCCACCACAAACCCCCCACAAACCCCCCACAAACCCCCCACAAACCCCACACAAACCCACCACAAACCCACCACAAAACCCCCCACAAACACCCCTCACAGGCGGGGTTTGGCGGGGTTTGGCGGGGTTTGGCGGGGTTTGGCGGGGTTTGGCGGGGTTTGGCGGGGTTTGGCGGGGTTTGGCGGGGTTTGGCGGGGTTTGGCGGAGTTTGGCGGGGTTTGGCGGGTTTGGCGGGTTTGTTTGGCAGGGTTTGGCAGGGTTTGGCAGGGTTTGGCAGGGTTTGGCAGGGTTGGCAGGGTTTGGCAGGGTTTGGCAGGGTTTGGCAGGGTTGGCAGATTTTAACCATCTATGAGTTTGGGGTTTGGGGTGTTGGCTTTTTTTTGGGGGGGGGGGTTTGTTTGGGGGTTTGGCAGGGGTTCGACATGTATGATTCTTCTGGGTCTTCTGGCTTGGGGGCTGGGGGTTTTGGGAGTTTTAGAGTTTGCTTCGAGGGGATGTGGCGAGGCTTGAGGAGGGCGGGGATTTTTCTACCTGGAATCCGAATGCTCAAAGAGAAACCAGCCGGAGTCCATGACCCTTTCAGAGGGTCATTACCTCAAGATGGGCACATCACCAGCCATTCGTTGTGGGGGTCAGGTAGGGCCAGGTAGGGCATTTGCCAATGGCCACCAACTTCTTACTGGCCTCAGCAAACCAATGTAAGGTTCCTATTTATGGGAACCATCCCCATGACCAACATTTTTGGGACGGGATTGTCTCTGCCGAAACTCCTCAATTTGGGTGGTTTCCTTGTTGGTTTCCCTTGAAACCAACACCTCGTGTGTAGCGGGTGCCGATCAGGGTTGGGCAACATTGGCTGAAACAACCAGTTGGTCCAACTCATTCGCATTTTCCAAGCGAAGGTTTGTCCGTCCCTCGTGACCTCGTGACTACTTTTGGGGGTGGGAATTTGGTAAAACGCCATTTAAGATTTTGATCACATGAATGGATCCAGTCAGATGCATTTGGATAAACCGAGCTTCCTGAGAGTGTCCTTTTTAAACATACCCTTTGTTCGGTTGGTTCCAAGAACACCAAAACACATCGGCTCTGGTCGAAACGGACGGCATCGTTCGCTGAAGGTATTGGTTTGTCGGACTGCGCAGGTGGCGACTTCAAGAAAAGGGATCCGATTCAAGAGCAGCTTACTCAACCGCGCATCCCCCCAAAAAAAGAAGAGCTCTTCTCTGCGATAAGGTTGAATGAATCACCTGGTTGAGTACTAGGGGGATGGCGGGTGTTCCTTTTTAAGCGGGGGTACGTCACTTTGGGGTAAACATTACCAAAGGGCCTCCTCCTCGTGACAAATTCGCTATGGAGGGCCAATTGTGGCCAGTATCAAACAAAGCAGATTCCGTGGCCTCCAGTTGCTCACTAGCCACTACTTGAGCAAATCGAGCCCCCTGGAGAATTCCGGAGGATTATTTCTATCCCATTCTTCCATTTGCTGATGAATATTTTTGTTGATTTCCCTTGTTGGTTTTACAGGGAATCGATTGCACGACTGGACCTCTTTGCTCATGTCATTTTCTTCGGGTGAGGAAAATCTTGCAACAGGCGGACCTTGCGCAAGTTTCTCTTTGGGTCGTTCTCATCACCCCCCCCCCTCCGCCCCCCCCTCCGCCCCCCCCTCCGCCCCCCCCTCCGCCCCCCAACGTGTCTCCGTCCGAGGGCTGGGGCAACTTGACCAAAGGCTGGATTCGAGGCTGAGTTGGAATCACGTAGACCTCAACTTGCATTTGGTGACAGATCCCCCCCCCCCCCCCATTGTATAGGAATAAGATGGCTTTTGCGGCTCCTGGGAATCTATCACAGGAATTGTTTTTGGGCACTTCAGTGGTTAGTAACCGTGGATACCTACTTAGGAACTTGCGATTTCAGGGAAGTGGGTCATAGTGGATATGTTTGCTAAGCACCCTGCCCCTTAAGTGGGGTACCGTGAAACCAAATTGCGTCATGATCATAGGATAACAGCGTGTGTCTTTATGGCGATTTAGCTGGGTCTTTGGACTTTAACTTTTTGGGAAATTATTAAGGTTCCAATGGACCAACACAAAGCTAAGCTTTTTGCAGGTTGGTCAACGGCAATCAACTCGCTGTTGTTGCCTCGACACTGTGGTTTCCCCGGTTTTGTTTTGGTCGGGAGCTGATTTCCGGAATGGCCTTCTTTTGGAATGGCCTTGGGTTCCCGGGTGTTGCCATGTCTGAATTCGTTCACATGCTGATGTACAGTTTGCAGTTGGCTGCCAACCGAGAATTCCTGAGCTCCCGAGAATTCCTGGGTCAAAAAGTTCGAGCTCACTGAAGGCTTCTTACCTGGTCACCTAGGATCCGTATCCTGAACTTTAGGACCAGCTTATGGAGTCCCATGCAGGGTGGGGGGGGGGGGGCGGGGTGGGGTGGGGGGGGGGGGGGTGGGGGAGGGGCGGTCCTGTTTTTTTTTTTGGGGGGGGGGTTCTCTAAGGCTCCTTGACGCAACCTGCAACCTGAAAGGGGCTCTCAACTACCCACCCCGCTTGTACCAACCCCTTTCACAACCAGTGAGTGCAGATACGTCGTAACTTTTTTGCGGGCTATGCCAGGGTGGTCCAACACCTTGGTTGTTGGGGGTGCTCGGGTGCTTGAATCGGCCTTTGGGTGTTTCTGGCTTTGAGCCTGGTGGGTCGTGGAGTTGCTGCTTGGAGGGCAAGTCGCAAGCTCTGTTTGAGTTTGACCATCGTGCACATACATATATATATATATATATACATATATATATATATATGGGCTTGTCTCTAAATGGGGGGCTCATGGGGTGGTTTCGAAACCGCTGGTTTCGCTTTAAACCAACACCTATTTGGGCCTAAATAATTTGAATGGGGTTGTGGGCTACTTCGCATGTGTCTGTTTTTTGAGGCTACCTCTTTTCTGGGCTTTGAAAGGGAAACCACATGGAACACCGAAGTCTTCGTCTTGGAAAGGTCCAAATTCCACAAGCCATTTGTGGGGCCCGGGCACACCGCTTGGCAGGCGCGCCAGACGCGCCCGTCGTGGCCATCTCTGAGGCGGGTGCGAGTGCCGAAAGCGGAGCCTCACACGTTGGCTTGTCTGTGTTGCCAGCAACGGAGTTTTTTTTTTTCACTCGCATCGAGGTCACCGAGGTCCGTGCGCCAGGGATCCCCAAACTCTTCCTGCGAAAAGAATCCACAGAGCCGCTATATGAACCCTTTGCTCCGCAAATGGACATGGGACCCCACAGGAGGTCCGATTCCCAGAAGGAGTCTCCTCGATTAAAGGGGTAGGGTTTTTGGGGTTCCATGTTAATCTGAAGGGGAGTAATTGGTGCGGACTATGCCGGTACTAAGTAGGAGTCCCTATGGTTTCACCATGGTGATTGTCTTTAGATACCCAGATTTCTGGCCGGCCCATGGCTTCCCACGAAGCAAGGCCTTTTGATGGTAGCTCCCGTTTGGGGAGACTGAAGAGTTTCCGGAGGTATCCTGTACAACTAGAAGCGAAAGCTGGCAAGCAAAGCGCATCCCTCCAGATTTATTTCAGAGGTGGTGGCCCAATCATTCTGGTTAAACACATCATGTCTAGGGGCATTCCCAGTGGGTACGCTCCATGCCGAAGTGGAAGCTACCGATATGAATCTGAACTTTGGTTCTTGCCTTGCCAATACCAGCGACCTCGTAGGTGGCATGTTTGCCCTTGGTCGTCACCAGTTCAGCAAATCAGAAGCTATGCGGGTAGCAGAATGTTTGACACTTTTTGAGACCAAGCAAAGGAAACACACCTTTCTGATTTTCTGATGCGTGCCCACATGTCTGTCATTTCATGCACCCCAAGAACACAGTCTTTTACCATGGTGTGCGTCTTTGGTGGCTCGCCCGGTGTGCGAGGTTTCTGGTTGAGAGAAAAAGGAGCCTGAATGGGTAAACCAAAATCCCATTTGCAGGGGATGAACCTAAATGCCATGGAGTTGTTTCCCTTCTACGTTTGGGTATGTGTCAACGGGGACCCCCAAAATGGTGGCTCCTTTTCGTTTCCATTGAAGCCAACCCGTACCCTCTAAAACACAGGCAGACAGACGGAGGCTGACAGACAGAGACAGAGACAGAGACAGAAAGGCAAGCAGACAAACAGACAGTCAGCCAGCCAGCCAGCCCAGCCAGCCAGACAGACAGACAGACAGAGACAGGGACAGACAGACAGGAACAGACAGAGACAGGGACAGACAGACAGGAACAGACGAGAGACAGGGACAGACAGACAGACAGACAGAAAGAGACAGACAGACGGAGGCTGACAGACAGAGACAGCAACAGAGACAGAAACAGAGACGATAGACACAGACAGGTAGACACAGACAGAAAAGGCAGGCAGACAGACAGACAGCTAGGCAGACAGGCAGGCAGACTGACAGACCCACACACGGAGAAGGAGACAGAGAGAGAGAGAACAAAAACGAAAGAAAGAAAGAAAGAAAGAAAGAAAGAAAGAAAGAAAGAAAGAAAGACAGACAGAAAGAAAGAAAGCAAGAAAGCAAGAAAGCAAGACAGCAAGAAAGAAACAAAGCAAGAAAGCAAGAAAGCAAGAAAGCAAGAAAGCAAGACAGCAAGACAGCAAGAAAGAAACAAAGAAAGAAAGCAAAGAAAGCAAAGAAAGAAAACCAGAAAAATAACGAAACCAAAGAAAGAAAAGACAGACAAGACAGAAAATAGATAAAACAAAGAAAAGGAAGAAAACAAAACAAATAATACGAAGAACACAAATAAAATACGTGAAGCAAAGAACAGAAAGAAGAGAAAGAAAAGAAAGAAGATACATATAAGACAGAAAGAAAGAAAGAAGAAAATAAAAGAGAGAAAACATAAATAAATACATAAAAGAAGAGAGAGAGAGAGAGAGAGAGAGAGAGAGAGAAAGTGAGATAGAGAGTGAGACACGCGCACAAAGACACACCCACACCCACAGGTGCACGCACACGCGCATGCGCACACCCACGCACACGCGCACGCACGCGTACACGCGCACGAGTTGTATTGGTTGGCGTTACGTTGCATTGCTTTGCATTGTTGTGCTTCTCTTTGCGTTGCTTTGCTTTACTGTGCAGTGCTTTGCGTGAAGTTGCTTTGCTTTTCTTTTCATTGTGTTGCTTTGCCTTGCCTCGCCTTTGGTTCTTTGCACTGCTTTGCTTTGCTATTCTTTGCTTTGCATTGCCTTGCCAGAGTTGACAGTGCTCACGCTTTCATACTCGGTTGTCATGGGGCCAAGTGGCATTCAAAGACTTCGGTGGCATTTTGGCTCAAGACCACATTGAATTGCCCTTGTCCTTGGGGCTGCCCTCTCGTGTGGTCTGCGCTTTCTTATGGACGACGCGGACATGGTTGAGCCCGTGGAGGTTGACGCCTTCGGCTTTCCAGAAGTGTGAGCTTGTGAAGGACACGCATATGGAAGCCCAAAGATCTCTTGGAGGCACCCCGTGGAGTAGACTGTGGAGCTGAACACCACAGTACCTCTGGACAGGACTGCTTCTGCCGACACCATGGAGAAGAGCAGGTGGCGAGCAATGCGCCATCTCTGCACGTTAGTGGTCTCATCCGCCAGAAGAACAACAGGCTGGAAATGCCGGCCTTGGCCCCCCATCGCGCGCCAGGTCCCGCAGCCTTCTGCTACACGCAGCTGCGCAAGGCAAGGAGGGGCAAATTCAAATTTGTGGAACCGCTGTGGTTTTCGCCATCACGAGTGGGCGATGACCATACCCACTGAGACGAGTACATCGTAAACCTTGGGAGGACATCTCCGCCAACGGATCCAGTCGGCAAAGCTGCAAACGCCTTGTCAGACTTTGTCAGACCCCCCGCCGTGTTTTTAGCAACCTGAGCGTGACCATGCGCAGGCGCCGGCCACTGCTGGAACAGGCTTGGGCCATGGTCAACAATGTCTGGCAAGTGAATTCAAGTCTAATTCAAGTACCGGTCAGCACAACCTGGAACGCATGTTGCCCAACCCGGTTGATGTCAGGAACAAGATGAAGGACCCACCTCAACCTCCCAAGGTACGGTTCACACTCTGAAGACTTGCTGCTGCAGGAAGGAGGTATTCAGGCCAGACGTGCCAACATCAGGGAGACCGCGAAGGATGTGGGGAGGGAGTGGGACACTTCAACTGGTATCTCATGGAAAGCGGCGGGGCTGCTCCCCAAAGAGTTGGTGGACTTCGGCAAGCAGCTGTTTAGACAAAGCGGCGCACCGGCGGAGGGCGTGAAAGACTTCAATGGCGTGAAAGACGCAGCCGGCGCCGGCGGCCTTCACCTGACAAGCTTCGCCTGCTTTGAATTGTTAAGCCGCCAACGCCAGCAGTGCGATTGTGTGGCCGGGCGCGTCGCAAAGCAGAAGGTTCGGGGCCCGCTGTGCCCTGGTTGCACGCAAGACCGCCCGCGCGTCAACACGCATTCGCCCACCTGCACGCGCGCAGGCACGCACGGAGCGCCCACGCACACATACACCACGCTCCCACATCCGCGCACGTGCGCGCACACACACACACATACACGCATGTGCGCAAACATGACGTGGGGAAGCCACATGTTCAGCTAACGTAAGGTCCATATCAGCTGGGTCCGACCTTCTGGGTCCAAGGCTGGCTCGTTTGATGCCCAGACGCGCACACACATACACTCGACACGAGCACACGCACGCACACACGCACACACACATTCACACAGATAGACACATACCATATACACCCATACGCACACGCATACACACACACACATGCTCACACACACACACACATACGCACCAATACTACCCAGCCCCCACACACCGTTCTGCTGCAGGCTCGCCGGAAGTGCAACAAGGCGCAAGGCGAGCCACGCGCGAGCGAGGGAGCTGGCAGCGCTTCCGTTGTGCAGCTCGCCAGGGTTTCCTTTGTCTTATTAAACGCGGACGAACACAACTTGTGTCAGTGGGTGGCCGGGTGAACCAAGTCGTGAGATGTTTGTCATTGGCTGGTTGCAAATTCGAAACGGAGCAGAACCAAACCGAATGGCCCGAATGTGCTTTTACCCTTGGCAGAATCAAACAAAAGGCCCGTGATTCTGGCCGGTCCCCACAGATTGATGGGCAGTCGGGCAGGTGCAAGTCAGGCAGTTTGGTAGGCAACTGTTACCTTTTTCTTCCACTTTGTTTCCTGAAGCTTTTCGTTTGTGGGGAAGACTGAAACACTGGAAGACTGTATTTTGGGGGGATGTTCCTACATAAGCTAGTGATGGAAGCCCAGCTGACGTCCCATTTACGAAGGGAGCCGGATCACATCTGAAGGATACAACAATCTATGACCAGGTGTTCCGTTTGGTAATTGAAAGGCTGTTCGTTTTGCGCGGGAATGGGGGTCACTGGAGTATGCTTTGGGTTGCCCAGAGCCCAGCGTCCAGTCTCGAGTCTTCGATTTGCCCAGTATTGTTGACCCCATCAACCCTTTATGAATAGGGGGTTGTTGTTTTCTGGAAAAGTGGTTGATTCCAACCACATTTCACCCAGGGAGCAGCACCCTCTATTCATAAACTGGGGTTGATTCTGTTCGGGGACGGCTCACAACAACCCCCCACCCCCGCCTCATCAAAACCCCCCCTTCCCGCCCCCCCCCCCCCCACAAAAAACCCCCCTTCCCCCCCCCACAAAAACCCACCCCTTCCCACCCGCCCCCCTTCCGCCCCCACAAAAACTCCCCCCGCACAACCCCCCCCCCTTCCGCCCCCTTCCGCCCCCACAACCCCCCCCCTGGAGAAGCACCCAACTCGGGGCCCTTCGTCGCTTCCAGGCGACGCGTTTCAGAAGCCCGCGCAGCGCAAGGCCAGGGAGGCCGCTCGGAATGCAAGGCCCTTGGAGGGTTGGAAGCCACTGGCGAGTGGGTGGCTTCGCGGAATTGGGTTTAAGGAACGGCCGGACATCTAATTAATGTTGACCCAGGATTAATAAACCCGCCCCACTTTTGGGGGGGTGTTCCCTCCAAAAGTGATGAATCCCCAATAAAAAGGGACCCCCCCCTATTAATCAACCAGGGGTTGATTAATCCGGGGTTAACATTAAGGCATATCTGAGGCCCCAATGAAAGGAAAGCACAAGGAGGTGGTTGTTAAATACAGCGCGAGCGCTGTGTAAGAAATCGGTTGGTCGAGGCCCAGGGGGGCTGTTTCTTAGCGTCCGTTTCGTCTTTAACAGGGCTGGTTTCTATTCTCTGGAGCGAGTTTTTTTTTTTTTTTTTTTTTTTTTTTTTTACCAAAGGCATCCTTCATCACCCGAAAATGACGCTAAGAAATTGAGCCCCCCAGGGATGTCTTACCGGGCACTTCCCTGATGGTCAACACTGCTCTCTTTATGACACAAGTTTGCTAAGAAATTGAAACATCCTGCTGGGGCTGAATTTCTTAGCAGCAAATGCACTTGCACTTGCAGCCCACTTGATGTGGCAAGCTCAGCCTCTCAGTTTCTACAATGATTTCTTCCACAGTGCTTGCGCTGTAGGTGGATTTGTTGAAACCAACACCTGGCGAGTGGGTAAGTCGAAGGTAAATCAGCTTTGAGCTTGCAATTTTCTCGAATTGGTTTGCATTGGTGGCCTGAAACTTTGACCTTGCAGAGGTAAATGGGAAATCGTTTAGCCTCCAAAGCACCGAAGCAAACCAAGAATTCGGTGGATCTTCAAGGGAAGGTGATTCTCAACCGTGGGGCAGGGGCTGGCAAGTTGATGAAGAAGCAAAGGGTCCTGGACTGCCTAATCCTTGAACAGCAATGACCTGATTCGCTCGCGTCTGTTTGTGTACCAACTTCAAGGTGACAGTGCTGTGCGGAATGTTTCACTATTAGGCTCGGGCTCCGTTTGCGAACAATGCATGACGCGAAGGGCTCTCCCGAAGTTGGCCACTGAGAGCTATCTGGACGTTATGTTCAAACCAGTGGTGAGTAGCAAACTTCTCACATCGGGGTCCTGTCAAATCTGAAACCTATGCAACCACCCCACAGGACCAAGCTCAAAAAAGCAGAGCTGGGACAAATCATTCTCAGAATGTTGGGAACCATTCCGAGAGGTTCCAGTCAGGTCCACCAATTGTTTTCCACTGGCACGGTTCCCCAAACAGCCTTTCCAGAAATCAACGAGTGCTGAGGTGAAGATGGAACCCACGGAGAATCCTGTAGGCGCCGTTTCCGTCTCCGAAGTCTCAGGTGTCCTTCTCATGGTCAGCTTGGGAATCAGCAGTGGCAATCCACAAGTTTCAGCTTCTTCCATTTGCTGAATATGGCCGTGGCTCAAAAAACCGGTACCGCAATGGGTTGCCCTGCTCAGTGGAACCATGGACTTCGAAACCTGCGGAGCGGTTTGCCCCTCCGATCGTATTTTGATTGCCAGACCCATATGTTGTCTGGGGACTTCAGAAGGATGTGGTTCAGCATCGCTGTTTCCATCGCCCTGCGCTGAGAGCGGCCCGCGGGTGCGGGCCCAGACGGGCCGACACGTGATCATGACAGACTAGGTCTCCCAGCGATTGGTGCCAACTTTCTCACCCCTTTTTGGGGGGAGGGTCTTCGTCTACGAAAATAGACTACGGAAAAAACAAATCGGGTACCCCCTTATTCTAGCCTCTCAAATCTGGAGGACCTGGCAGAATGTCTCAGTTTCGCCCAACGGGCTTTGGCGAAAGACCGACCGACGTTTGCGAAAGGGGACCGACCGCCTGTGATCGATATTCTCTCAGGGCCCCCCCGAGCAAACCCAAAGCTACTCCAAAATTTGGAGGGTCTCTCAATTTCTAGATGGTCCCCTGCTAGTTCCAACAAGGTGACTCCCCAACAATCATTGAAGCGCGCAAGCTGCGGGAAGGCTACTTTCCATTTGGGCAGAGGGGTTGTGCGCTTGCATTTGTTGGTCGAAGGGTGGATTCCCAGCCTGCGTCGGATTGAACCCCGCCAGGCAAGCTGAATGAGCGGCTCTCGGCCATTGCCCGCCGCACGCTCACGCAGCAGGATGTGCGGAGCCCAACGAACGGCCTTAGGCTCCTAAGGCTGTCATCTTTTTAGGGGTGCCCTGGTTGGGTTTGTTAGGGAAACCCAAGAGACAAAGGGAAACCGCTGATATTTCGGAGGTGAATTTTCGTGGCCGTTTTTTGGCGAACCCTCTTTCGGGAGGGGGGGGGGGAGAGGAACCAGCATAGGCAATCAATCAAGAACACACACAGGTCTATCTTAAAACGGAAAACCCCTGCTTGGATGTGCAAGCAGAAGCACGCGGGCAGCAACCTCCCTCAATTGGACCCCAATTTTGATAAACGAGCAACTGCAAGCACAACCAATCAGGTGCCAAGTGGCTCCACGATTGCTGAAACAACCCGATCCCACTCCCGAAGTTCCGAGTGACTCTAAGCTTTGTGGGAAGACCATTTTTCGGTGGTAAGTAAACCGTTTCGATTTGTTGGGCCACTCAGGAAAGTCGGATATCCCTCCCCTAGCAAAACCAAAAGCAGAGTGTTTCAACAATGGTAAACAACAAACATGCACCCTCCCACCAACTAAAATGGAAGTGCACAAAGCCCCTCTCAAAAGAGAAAAGTAGTCTTTCTACAGGGGTCTATGCACTTCGGTGTTATGGGAGGGTAACACTCGACTCGCTGAGGTCTCCTACAATTTCACGGCCGGTCAGTACGGCTTCGCCTGCACAGTGGCTGGCCTGTACAAAGCACGGCGTTGTTGTTTTGCTGGTGCGATTCACGGCGTTGTTTTGCTGCTGCGATTGGTCTTCAACTAGGTCCCCCAGTGGTGCCCTTTTACCCTTTTTGGGGGGAGGGTTCCCCTACTAAAATAGACTACACACTACACAAAAAAGGGAACCCTTTTTCTAACCTCTCTACCGAGAAAAAAAGAAAAAGAAAAACACCTAGTCTATGAAATGACACCGTAGGTGGTGTTTTTCGGGCTCATTCCAGGTCTCATTCCCAGCCGGTTTTCCAGGTCTCAGCATTTGGTTTTGGTTTTCCCAAACTTTTGGTTCGCGAGAAACAAAGGTTGACTTTGGGGGGAAGAAATCTGCGTAAGGTGGTTCCCTAGCCTCCTTCTTTTTAAAGGTCCGTAGGTGTAGCTCATATTGTTTCACCAACAGTAACTGGATCCGGCCCGCGAAGAAGAAGGGACACCAAAAGGTGGTCAGTTTGAATCAAGGGTGGGCCCAATCCTTGTACAGGGCTCCTTAAAAGATACCATTTTGCCCATTTGAAACATGGCTTTTTCCACCAAAATAAAGTCAAACCACCATTTACCAGGCAATGTTCAGGTGTATAGTGTAAGGATCCCTGTTGTATTTGTAGTGAAGTTGATTCTCCAAGTCAACTTGCGTGGTTTCACACGAGGGTGCCCACACCCGTACTCCAAGAAGGTATGCAGAAAAGCATCAGTCGTTCAGTAGTTCTATATGTTCTCATTTTTCTCTCCACTTAAAAGGAAATCTTCCCATTTTCCGAAATGAACATGTTTTGTTTTCCCTTTGTGGTTTTCAAGGGACTCTATCACCACTGGACACCGTATTTTATTTTATTTTATTTTTGCCAGGGGGCAGAGAAAATGCAAAAGAAACCAGAGCAAATGGAAGAAAATGGCGCCAGGCGCCCGGCGCAATGGAAGAAGTCGAAGATTCGGGCGCCCGGGCGCCGCAAAAAAACGGGGCCCAGTCGCCAGGTGAGCGTCGACCAGGCGGCTCTGGGCATCGATCCTGGGCACCTGATCCAAGCCGCCGGGGACGTCGCGGCCTCGAAGAAGGAGGCGGGCGGAGCGCGCGGCGGCCCTGCGCGGCCGAGCGCGGGGTCTCGGAGTCTTGTAAAAAGAGCGCCTCAGTTGTTCCGTGGCCCCAATTCTTTCCCCCCTTTTTTTGGGGTGGCTGCCCCACTAAAATGGTCCAAGCCCCAAAAAAGGGTTCCCTTTCTTTTTCCAGGGTCACTGAACAACTGAGACGCAGCAATTAAAGGGAGCTGGGTATCCCTGTTTTGCGGATTTTTGGGGGTAATGGCGTGGAAATAGTGCGCGGCAAGCTTCCTTAAAAAGTCGGGAGGGCAGGTGGCTGGCGGGCCCCCCCTTTGGTTTTTGTTCCTTCCGTTAATTGGACCTGACCAATTTCCGTTGTTTCGAATCATTTGGCGCAGGGTTTCATTTCTTGTCTACCCCGGAGGTAGGCTTAAACCCGGTTTCCCTTTTGGGGGAATCAGCCACCGGGTTCAAGTCTATGTTGGTTGCTTCTATGTGGTGTTGATTTGGATTTGAGCCCTTGTTCTTGTAGGTTCATGGGAAGCCCAACCTCCGCACCTTCAAACCACCAAATCAAATCGCCAACGAGAAGGAACTTGGATGTTCAACCAGCAAGTTGGAAGGGGACCAACTGACCAACCCCTGTTGCCCAAGTTCTAACCATCATATCCAACTTACCCGACGTTGGTTGGACATCCAGAATCCAAGAAGCTGATAGATAGAAAAAGCTGGTTAGGACCATACATGAACCCATTTCCATTTTGGACCGCAGGGTGGGGACTGAAAAGCAGTGCCCCCTCTTATTTCCCCTTGTCTCTCCACTTGTTCCCCTTGTTCCCCGTGCTTGCGCTCCCTGCTTGCGCTCTTTGCTTGCGGTACCTGCTTGCGCTCCCTGCTTGCGCTCCCTGCTGGCGCTTACTAGCTCGGGCCTTGTCATGGCTCCCTCTTGTTTCCCCTTGTCTCCCCAGTTGTCCCCTGTTTGCGCTTGCTGACTCGGGACCTTGTTGTGGCTTGTCTCTCCCCTTGTCTCCCCTTGTCTCCCCTTGTCTCCCCTTGTCTCCCCTTGTCTCCCCTTGTCTCCCATTGTCTCCCCAGTTGACCCATTGTTCCCCACTTGTTTCCCTGCTGCTGGCGCTTGCTGACTCGAACTTGTCTCCCTTTGTTCCGCACTTGTTTCCCTGCTTGCCCTTGCTGACTCGGACCTTGTTGCGGCTTGTCTCCCCTCTTGGGGGGCCAGGACCCGCCAGCGCCAAGCCCGAGCCCCTCGCGCGCTCTGGGCGTTGCTTTTTCTCGTTCTCAAGGCCGCGGGTGTCGTCGCGCTGCGTCGCGCGCGAGGACTTGCCTCCGCGCGGCCAGGTCAAAAAGAGCGGAGCCCCCAGAGGCAGGCCAACGCCTTTGTTTCCCTGCTTGCCGCTTGACCCCAGTTGCCTCCTTCGCGCATGACTCGGACCTCGGCTTGGCTTCCTGTGTCCCTGCTTGCTTGCTCCGTCTTGTTGCCCGTTGTCTCCCCGATTGTCCCCCTTCTATCCCCCGCTTGCGTTTGCTGGCTCCCCTTGCTTGCTGGCTCGGACCTTTCTCTGCTGCGCTTGCTGGCTCGGCCCTTGTTATTGCTTTCCCTCTTGTCCCCCTTGTCTTCCCATTTGTCCCCCTTGTTCCCCGGCGCGCCCGACCTTGTCACAGCTTGTCTCCCCTCTTGATTTCCGTTGTCTTCCCAGCTGCTCCCCCTTGTCCCCACTGTTCCCCCTGCCAACTCGGTTTTTCTTGCTTGCGCTGGCTGATTCTCGGTTTGGCCCGGCCTTGTTTCCCTGCTTTCGCTTGCTGGTTCGGGCCTTGTCACGCCTTGTCTCCCATTCCCCCTTATCTTCCTGCTTATCTCCCTGCTTGCACTTGCAGACTCGCACCTTGTCACGGCTTGTCCCCCCTCTGATCTCCCTTTGCTCCCTGTCCCCAACTTGTTCTGCTTGCTTTGCTGGCCCGGACCTCGTCGAAGCTCCACTTGTCTTCCTACTTATCTCTCTGCCGGCGCTTGCTTGTCTTTGGTCACCACTTGTCTCCCCTCTTGTCTCCTTCCTTCTGGCTCGTCGCGGCTTTTGTCTCTTTCTCCTCTCCCCAGTGTTCCCCCTTCACTTGTTTCTCGGCTTCTTGCTGACTCGGACCCTGCGTCTCTCTGCTTGCGCTTGCTAACCCTCTACTTTCCTGCTTGATGGATGGCCCGAATTCATGATCCCCTTGGTTGACTTTGGAAGGGGAGCAACAATTCAAGTTTTAGCAGTTCAGTGGATTTGGATTTCAACCACTAAACCACAATAAGCAAAAATGTCAGATGTCTTCCAACAACAACCATGTGGCTGTGGCTCAAAAAACCGGAATTCCAAAATGGGTTGCCCGATCGGTCAGTGGAAACATGGACTTCTCCGAACTTTCCCCCTCAAAACTCCCCACAACGTTGATCTCCCCAAACATCGAGCATTCCTTGACCGCAAACTCCCAACAACGTTAATCCTCCTCTTGACTTTCTTCACCCCAAACCTGGAAAGTCCTTCTGCGCTCGTGTTTTGCCATTGGTCATGTTGATCCTAAATCAAGTCTAGGTGACATGTGGAGAACCAGACCACTTTGGCCCCCCCCCCCTTGAATAAACAAAACATATGGCCATGGGTCAAAATTCCCAGTGAACATCCCAATCCCCACTAAAATGGACCAACATGTAAAATGGGTGGTGCACGCTGCACCTACCCCAAAATAAGATCCCGAAACGGTTTTGACATCCACAGCCATACTGTGGATGGACGAAATTTGCACCACTTGAAAACCACGATGGAAACCACTGTTTGTTGGTATTTACAGGGGAATCGACTCATTCCAGTAGTTTCTCATGCGAAATGGATTTCGTCCATCCACAGTATGGCTGTGGTTGTCAAAACCGTTTTGGGATCCATTTTGGGGTAGGTGCACTTTAGTGTAGATTAGTGGGGATTTGGATGTTCACTGGGAATACGATTTGGATTTTGACCCATAGCCATATGAATAAACAGGAGCTGGCTCAAGTTACAAATGTGACTTTTGGAGGGGCCAACCCCCCCCCACCACCCCAATGAATAAACAAAAACATATGAAAAAGCAGGAACTGCTCGGTTCACATGGGCTTAACGTCGCAACCCGCCGTCAGGCCAAGTCTCAGGCGGCTGCCGCGTTGCTCGCGTGCCCGAATCTGGAGGAGTACCTTCCCCTGCCGGAGAGGCGCCTGTTCGACAAATCCCAAGGAGGGAATGACATTTTGGTGGTTCCCTACTGGGCATATGTGTTTTTTGTTTTTACCCCTGGGGGCAAAAAACTAAATGGAAATTGTTCGTTGAGGATCTTTGCTTTAGGTTGGAGATTTCACTAGAAATATGGTACCTCAAAATTCCATAGACCTTTGGGTGCCATTTTGGGTACCATTTGTTGAGCCACAACCACATGTTCTCATGTTTTCTGGATGAAAGAGCGAATGGAGAAAAACATTGTTTAGGATCCCTTGCTTTTGGTGAATGTGAATTGGAGGGATCCCCCAAAATCCGCCGAAAAAGGACATGTGTTCGGGCTAAAACCCCTGGTAAAACAAAGACGACCCTTAAAAACAGCCTCCAGAGATATTCCATGTTTGCACCTTTCAATCTTGGGGATAGCTCAAGTCCGAATCCACCTCCGGCGAATTGATTCGCCAGCAAAACCCCAGAGATTGGGGGTGTTCGTTTGGTTATTTTGCTGAAAGGATGGGTCTGCAAAACTCGCCTTAGGTGGCGATTTAAATCCGCGCCCCTTAAAATGAAGCTTTTGAGTGAGCATTTGAAGAAGGCGCAAACTCCAAACCAGCCCAAACAAAAGTTGACTTGTTTGGGGGTGTCCAATGAAAATGGCAATCAGTAGCCAATCATTTGTGGGGGACTGGAAGTTGGAACTGGATTCAGCTTGGATTCAATGCATCCAAGCTCGCTTCACGAGGGAGTAGCGGGCCGCAACACGGGGACGCTTCCTTCCAGTCGTGATCAAAGGGCGCATCAAGGTTGAGCTCAAAGGCGAGTTGCAACTTGCTCTTCCGGGGTTCCGCCTGGTTTCATGGTTGTTCTTTGTTGAGACATGTTGACTTGCCCGGGGCCAATGCTCTGAGGGCTACCAACCAGCCTTGTTTCCCTGCGTGAATCTCCCAGGCAAGCGACTCTTAGGTCGGCGCTTCTTCCCTACGTATTGTCTTCGTGTTTTTGGGGGTTCGGCGGTTCCAACTTGGTTACTGCCCAAGGCCCAAACGAACATGGGAAACCCAACCGCCCGTGTTGCCGAGAGGAGCCTCCAGGTCTGGGGACCTTGGGGTTCCTTCTTGAAAATTTTGGTGGGATGGGGAAGACCATGTTGGTAAGTCAGGGAGGACTCACCTTACCCCAAGCAAAAGCATTTTTTTTGCCAGGCGATGCAATTCCGAGCGATGCTTGGGGAGTGTCAGGCGAGTTTTTTTGAAAGCCCGGGAGATGGATGGAACACACCAACCTTTTAACTCAGTTGTTCAGTGGCCCCCTTTTTCCCCTTTTTTTTTTGGGTGGCTGCCCCACTAAAATGGTCTTCCCAAAAAAGGGTTCCTTTTTAGCCGTCCGGGTTCAAAGGCCCCTCGGCTCAGGGAGTTGAGCCCCCGGGGCTGGGCTGGGGCTCCATAGCCCGGTCCAGCGTCCAAACAGCCATGGCTAGCAGCTCGCTCCTCGTGAACCCCCTGTTCACCCTCTTCTACTTGGCCGTGTTTGTGGTTGTCCATGGAGTGCTTCTGCTTGGAGGCTCAGGCCTTTGGCCCGCCGTACCCGTGAAGATTCCTGGCCTTCGGGCTGGCCCCATCAGCTGAACACCTGTTTGGGTGAAGGTGCCGCGGGCCTTTCCTTGCGGGTTTTTGACCCCTTTGATGACTCGTCCTCTACACGCTCTGCGTCTGCATATTTGGGTGGCTCTTTCTGGATCCTGGTTGTGCCCTCTCGTCACTGTGGGACTTTCGGCAGTTGTGATGCAGGCTGCTTTTCTCATGGTACCTGTGGGTCTCCAGTGCTTGCAGCAGTCGGTGCCAAGGTAGATGCGGGATTCCTACCTTCCTTGCCGGTGGGACTGGTACTTCGATAGTTTACAGCTGTGAGTGGCTGCAGCCGTGTGGTGCTTCACCTTATTTCCCGGCGCTCTTGGGTCAACGGCTTCGGAGGCCCCGTCTTCTCTGGCTGGATGTGGCTTTGCTGGATCCTGTTCAACTTTCGGGTTCTCTGCTGTGTACAGCATACTTTTGATTTTGTGATCTGCCCTCTTCTGCTGGGCGCTTCAATTCGTTGCCACGTCACTCCGGGTGGCACTCCGTTTCACGCAGCACCCCGCTGCCCACGTCACTCGTTGCCTGGGGCGGCGTGCCCCTGTGACCCGCGTTTCCGCATGTCCTCACCGACATGGAAGCGCCACGAGTCAAAAGGGTTCCTTTTTTTTCCCCAGGGTCACTGAACAACTGAGAACCTTTGAAGCCACGAAGCCACTCGAACGACTCGAGCCGACGTTGGGATGTCGGGCTCGCTTGTTTGAGGCCAAAGACGGAGAAGTCCGAGAGACCTTCGGTGGTGCTGCTGCAGCAGGTGCTGCAGAAACTCCTCAGGACGGGTCAATCTGCCTTTTTTCACAGCCAGCGAGCGGTTCCACCTGAGGCTCATCGATTCGGGGGTATGACGAGCGAAAGCCATGAGAAACGTCCTAAATAAAGACTTGGGGATCCGATCCTTAATTCAGCTTTTGGAATTTCAGGAACATTTGCAGAATCGATTGGCCGGGACCTGTTTGATCCACGCGGATGGGGGCGTGGTGTGTAATTCTTCTCTGGTGGTTTCAAGTATCATGTATCATGTCCCTGGCTGGGTGGTTTTCAACGTCACCTTTTGCGTCAGTTAAAGGTGAGCTTTCTTTGGTGGCGGTGATGCCTTAAGGGAAAATTCAGGGAACCTCCTGGACCAAATTCTGGACCAGATGAAGCCCTACTGGGATAAACCACCTATGAGCACGATGTGGTCCATCTGCATTAGGTCTGCGGAACATGTGGCGATCTTTCCCGTGATGAAGGGCCCTCTACTTGCCAATCTTCATTTCTAATTTGTGAAGTATGGTAATCTGCACGGATCCACAAGTGTGTTCTTTTAAGCCCAGTTTGGTTGAACATAGATTGAACGCCGCCGGTTTGAGTTGGGTTCTGGTTATGATCACTCCTTTTAGGCACGACCCACTAGAATGCAAAAAAATATATATATATATATATATATGGCTGTGGGTCAAAACCAATGCTACCATTTTGGGGTAGGTGCACCACCCATTTTAGTCTATGTTAGTGGGGATTGGGGGTGTTCACTGGGGGTACGGGCTTTTGATAAGATTTTTTTGAAGCACAAGCCCGGTTGTTCAGTGATACTTTTGAACCCCTGTTTGTTTGTCGGGCCACGAGGGAATCGATTTACATATTTTCGCGTATCTTTTCCAGGGGAACAAGCAAATGAACGCTGGAATATGTGTCATGATCTATGGTCAATTTACGGGGAATCCACAGACTCCCTGCGACGACAAAACGTTTGGCTGAGCGGCAAACGAGTTTCAGCATTTTGATGCTTGTTCCACAAGGAACTCCCGAAGAAGCAGTTGTCGTTGAAGGGTTCGCAGTTTTGGCCAATGTGAGCAACAACCCAAATTAATCTCCGTCTACTGCCTGTACCGTTGTAGAGTTGTGAAACATGTGCCAACTTTCTGAAACTGTAATAGCATTCAGAATGAAATGATTGTAAGCATCATTTTCCCATCTAGGTTTGCCAGTAGTGCCCTTTTACCCCTTTTTTTTGGGGGAAGGTTCCCCTACTAAAATAGACTACAGAAAAAAATCGGGTACCCTTATTCTAATTTCTCTACTGGAGGACCTAGCCATGATCATGCGTAGAACCCTTGATTGGGTCCCTTCACTTCAGCGCTTTCTCGTGGCCGGACCTCCGGTTTGTGACTTGCGACTTGAATTCGGAACCTCACAAGGAGTTTGTTACACTCCTCACCCAAAAGAAATGTCCACCAGAGGGTCCCCGATTGAAAATCATGGTGTGTGTGAGGTCCAGCAACGTGCCCAGCGGGAAAAAGGGCCCTTGATGTGGGATCCGGGTTTTTTTTTGGCTCCAGGAGGGTGCCCACAGAGGATGATCTCATCTACACCTTCCAGGAGAGTTTGTCAGCCACCAAGGGTTACGTGACCTGCTAGGAGTTGATGTCCTATTCTTTTCGACCATCGTTCTTTTCAAAGACCGATCGCTGTTTCCCCTTGGATTCTGCGAGGGAGTTTTGGAGGGATTTTTAAGGCTTGGCGAGGGGTTTTTAGCAGACCTCCGGTTAGCAGAGCAAAGTATTGCAAGGGCAAGGAGTTGGAGCACAAGATCGGGAGAACAAGCTCACTTCCCGAGTCGTGGACTCTAACGTAGTTTGAGCAGCGCATTTTAGGGTAGACTTCTTCGAGCTCAAGCGCATAGAGGCCGCGTGGCACCCAAGAAACACCGGAGAACGTGGGGGATGTCTAACGGAATTCTGGAACCAAAGCCGGTGTGCCTTTTTGTAGGGACCCTCCCCCCAAATTGGTCCACTAAAAAAGGGGTAACCTCAAACAAGACACCCCCACTTGCACGATTGGAAACGGGGGTACAAGCATAGCCTGACCACAGGGTGTGTTCTCAGCAGCTCGCGCAAATATCGCACCGGTGGGTACGGTATCCTTTTCCTGTTGAATGATGTTCAAAGCACGAGACACCCAGCAAAAGAACGCCTTGATTTTTGGAGGCTCACTAAAATTAACCGGACCAAACAACCTAAACACCTAAGAACATGCCAGGAGTGAAGAACCAGAGTATCACTGCGATCACCTCAGTTGAGGGCTACAACCCTAGCCGAGGATTTTCACCCCCCCCTCCCCCCCTTCCGGCGCAACTTCCGATGGACCCAGCAATTGTCAGGCTAACCATTAGGCAAGTGAGTTAAGCAGGGCCCAATTGGGGCAAGTTGGTCCAAGCCAACCGAGTTTCTCTGCGAACCATGCACATCCAGTCAGAAGTTCACGTTGCGATTTTTCATAGATCCACTTGGGTGTGTCTTAGAATAGGACAAGGATCCTTAAACTTCATGGTCTTCCATGTGTCTCCCTTTAAATCAAATGTACCGTCAAAAGGACAACCCCCAAAGACGGTTTGGATTCTATCAGCTTTGACAAGGCCTGCCGTGCACTGCGGTGACACACTTCTTAATGAGCTGAGTCAGACTGTCAGCCACGTCTTCTAATTTGTTTGGGGGATTGTTCTTGTGCAGGCTAACCAACCAGAACCCCACTGTCTTATCCTCAGCCAGCTTCCCCGGTTTGAAAAGGGTCCCAATACTGTTAGATGGCGGCAGAGTCCAAAGCGGTTTTGTGGGCCCTGTTTGAATCTCTCTGCCGGTCCCCTAAAATGGTGTGAAGCTGTTGGTTTCCATTTTTTGAACTAAGGGGTCCGTTTTGAGGAACTTGTTCAAGAACCTTTCAACCCCCCCAAGCCTTCACCCCCCCGAAGCAAGCCCACAAACCAACTTGTTCAAGAACCTTCCAACCCCCTTCCCGCCTTCATCCCCCAACCAGCCCACGGGTGTGGGTGCTGTGCCGTTCAGGAGGACGCCTGCGGGTCCTTCGTGGCCTCGTTGCAGATCCCCATCATGCCCAAGCTGGCGACGGTCCTAGGAGCTCCCGCGCCCTCCAGGCGGGGAAAAGATGTCCCAAAGGGCCAGGGAATGAGTTGGAATCACCCCGAAACAACCCAGCGAATCTCTAGGTTCCCTGAATCCTCCTGGGTCATTCCCTACTGAGTACCAGCAAGTTATGGGGGGGTGACTTGCAGGGTATTAATCCCCTTGCCATACATTGATGCGATATTTGTCTTGTTAGTTCTTAAGGCATGGTTCTGGGTAGACCATGTTTATACCAGGTTTTGATTATGACTCATTTGGTGGTGGTGGTGGTGGGAGGGGGGGGGTTCCAAGCAAACTGGGGCAGCTCACCTAGTTGCCTTGGGGCTTGTGCTTGGCTCAGGCAACCCTCCAGGGATAGCTGCCCCAAAAGGCCCTTCTTGGAGGTCCATCGACACCGAAAACCAAGCTGGTTTGTGCCATTCTTGCGGGTGGATGGCGGATTGCCGTTTGACGTGTTTGAGTTCTGGTTGGGGCTCCTTTGGTCATTTCATCACAAATGGGCTGCAAGTAGAGTAACAGTAAGTCTCCCAGATTGCAGCCCACATGACATGGCCAAGACTAGTCCCCCTCAATCTGGGATGATCGTTTTTTTTTTTGGGGGGGGCTTCAATTTTCTGCGTGTTTGGGAGGCCATTGCTGTTCGGCATGTTTTTCCCCAGTCGGTCCTCAGGCAAGCCTGGCTTGGTATCCTCCAAACCACCAATCCAAGCCACCAATTTGAGGGAAGCTGAATTCATGATTGAGGATTCTTTATCGAAAAAAGCTGCGAAGGAACGAATCCGGGTCTCTGAGTGCGCAAGCTTTAGGGAGTTTGGCGGTGGCCAAAGAAAAGAGCGCAGCAACAGCAGGGCTCCTTAAAAGATACATTTTGCAACCATTTGAAACATGTTGTTTTTTCCACCAAAATAAAGTGAAACAACACCACTTACAAGTTGCAATGTTCAGGTGTTTCTCATGCATCCGGATCCCTGAACAGCTTGTGATAAAGGGAACGCCCCTTTCAAGTCATAGGCTTTCTGCAGGAAGGCGGCTTCGCACGGCTCGGTTTTTTTTTGTATCGGTGAGTTTGGGCAATGGTTCCACGGGTTTGGATTTAGGCCATCCCTGACCAGAAACACCCATCTACTTGGCCAAAATTGGGTCACCTGCAGGTCTCAAAAACTTCGGGGACCCCCCCCTCCCAAAAACAAAAAATCAAATTTGGGCAAGTTTCCCTTCTTTTTCCACCTCTAAACCCGACCCCCACCAAAAACTCACCGAGCCCAAAGCGTACCGAGACCGAGACCCACCCACCTCTAGCCCCTTTGGACCGCCCACGAAACCGACGCGACTCGACTCGCTCCGCGCGTCTCGCTCGCGACGGGCGCGGGCGGGCGCGTTGACTGCGCGCGTCGAGGCACGAGGCCAAGCAGCTGGCGGCCTGGGCGGCGCTGCAGCGGATCCTCGAGAGCTGAGCCGAAGGCCCAAAGGAGCGGAGGCGCCTGCGCCAGCGAGGGTGGGGAGGGGCGGGCGGGTGGGGAGGGGGGGGGGGGGAAAAAATGGAGAAAAGAGGGGGCCTGGGGGGAAGAGGGAGGAGTGTTGGGGTTATTGGGTCAAATGTTGTTATCCAACGTTTTAACACCCTTGCTTGATTTCTTCCTATATTTTGTTGTAGGGTGTTAGGGGTGGATTTTCTGGGGGCCGACATTTTTTTTCATTTGAAAGAGGTAGCCCTTTTAGTAGTTATTATGTTCTGGGGTGTTGGTGGTTCATTTGTTTATTCCTATTCTTGTTCAAAGTCACTTGTTGTTTCCATGTAATCTCTCACAGTATCGTTATTGTTTTCTTGACCTTTCACTCTTAGTTGGTGCTTACTTGTTTGTTGGTGTTTTTTCATTTTGTATTTTCCTACCATACATTTACATAAAGGACATTCTACTTTCAATTGGTTATAGTCTTTCTGTTTTTCATTTATGTCTTCTTTGTTCTTTTCTCTATATTCTTTTGATTTTTGCTTTATTTCGTCTTTATGCTTTTCACGATAAATCTTGTTCTTTTCCAGTATAGTGTCTTTGTTATTCTCTCTATATGTCTTTTTCTTCTCTACAATCTGCTCTTTGTTGTTTTCGTAATACTCCTTTGACTTTTGCTGTATTTGTTCTTTGTGTGCTTCTCTATACCGTCGTTTGCTCTCCAAGCATACATTACATTGTTTTCTTCCTTCGTTGAACTTTTCTAACAATTGAAAGACTTTACATTTGGAACATTGCTTTTTGTCTGTCATTGGTCTCTATATGTTTAAGGGGTTATTTATTTAGATAAGTTTAAGGGGTGTTATAGGTTAAAAGTTCAGTATAATTATAACATATAAGATTTTACATGTTATTATTATATTATGATTATAATTTCAGTTCAGGATAATAATCTAATTGGTTTGTCTTACTTCTTTCATACATCATTTTAAAAATAATATTAACATCTCTCACTGTATTCTGAACATTAAACTTTTTACTTTCAATAAATAATTTGATATTTTCTTTAACATCTTCTCCTTTCTCTTGACTATAACCCACCATCCATAATATATCATAAATCATGTCATATTTTTTCTTACTGATTTTAAGAAACTGTTTAACATAATCGTAAGGTGGTATTTTATTTACAGTTAGAAATATTAAAATCTCATCTTCTACATTTCTATTATTTATTCTTTTTATTCCCAACAGACATTTGATTAATTCTTGATAATATCTCCAATTTCTACAATTTGTACATATGTCTTCTTCACCATCCATTGAATAATTAATAATATTATTCACTATTTCATTAGGCAAATTCAATTTATACAATTCCATATTTTCTTTTTTGAAGTGACAACAATCATAGCATTTTTTATCGATATAATTATTGATTCCATCACCGTTCATTTTTCTCTTAATATATAAGGTAATATTTCTTTAAGTAGTTTTGGCTAGGGGGTTGCTGGTCGGCTGGTCTGGGTTTCAGGTTTAATTTAAATGTCTTAACCTTCTTGTTAGATTATAAAACAATGTTTAATCATATTATAATTAAATATTATGATTAAACCACGAAATCATTGTTTCTGTTTTCTATAAATTTCAATTATAACATGATCGATAGTAATGATTTCGTGTCGTTTCATAGTCTGTTTGGTTTCTTCAACTGCTTGTTCAATATGGTATTGTAATGACGCTCTACTTGAAATCTTATTCTGTTTAGATGATGAATAAGAACGACTGTTGCAAATATTATTATTATACATAATTTTTGAACTAACTTCTATTCCAACCTGTATTTCTTCATCATACTTCATCATTCTTAATAATTCTTTTGGTGGTTTCAACGCATATGAAAGCGCTTTATCACCTTTTAAACATTTATTGCGAATCTCAACATAATATTTACTTTCTCCTACTTGCTCAATGTATATAGACGGTTTCCATTTCCTTTGTAAGACCCTTAATGCTTTACACTGTTTTAGTCTTTGCCACCCTTCATTGCCAATCATATAAGAAGCGATGTTTAACAATGTTTCCATAGGTAAGCTAGCACAATTCTTAACCATAAAATATTTTCTGACATTTTACCCTCACTCATTTTTCTCTTTATATATAAGGTGTTTTCTCTTTAAGTAGTTTTGGCTAGGGGTTGCTGGTCGGCTGGTCTGGGTTTCAGGTTTAATTTGAATGTCTTAACCTTGTTGATAGATTATAAAAACTAGGTTTAATCATATTATAATTGAATAATATCATTAAACTAAATCACTCACGCTTTCCATTCACCTATTCCATCCCACCAGAATTCAATAATTCGCATCTGTCCATCTACTAGACTGTCTTCTTTGTTTAGTTTCCGTATCGCTCCTGATAAGATATAGTGGTTAATAATCATTGCATTAAACTTTCCATCACGGTTTAACTTTTTACCACAGTCTTTTATGATGTCTTCATCTGTTAGGTTTTCATACATTTCTTTCATGATGTCAAACCTAACAAATGAGTATATCGCCATCAAGTTTAATCCGCTAGTATCCCTAAACCTGCTAATGACATCATTCCAGAATTCTTCGTTTTCATCAACTGGTGGCAAAGGGTGTCTTTTGATGAAATCCTTTATTTTGTTTAACTCGCCATCTAGTTCCTTTTTATAACTGTCATTATCATCATCTTCTTCGTCTGATAGCACCAAGTTTGATAAGTCAGCAATCACTCCGACATTTTCTAAATTCAAGTCCTCTAATCTTATTTCAGCCATAATTTTCACTTAATATAATAAGTTAATATTTCTTTAAGTAGTTTTTTATTTTATGTTAAGGGGTGGGGCTTTATATTGAAAAAAAATATTTTCTATCAATTTAATATAATGGCGAGATTAACAAAAGACCAAATAATCAGCAACATCTATTACGACTTAGACGAGGGTTTCGGAAGCACACAAGCGACACACAAGAAGGCAAAGGAAGAAGACCCAACAATAACAATAGACGATGTAAAGTCTTTCTTAAAGAAACAACCAAATAAACAAATCAAAAATTATAGAGGTACTAATTCCTATACCGCTCCATTCGCACGATATGAATATCAAATAGACATAATGCATATGTCACCTTTAGCAAAAGACAAGAACGTTCCACAGTATGCTTTAGTCGTGATTGACATCTTCAGTAAATTAGCAGATGTAATACCGATGGAGGAAAGAGACGGAGAGCACGTTTTGAAGGCGTTGAGAGCAAGCTTTAAAAAGATGGGTTATCCGATGTCCGTGTATTCTGATGACGACGGAGCGTTTGCAACTAAAAATCAAGTTCAGGATTTCTTCAACAGTGAAGGAATAAACCACATCGTCACGAAGACCCACGCAAATGTGGCCGAGCGTTTTATTAGAACGATGAAAAACAAAATTCACGATAGAGTTAGGTTTAACAACATGAAATGGACCGATGCCCTAACGCAAGCATTGAAACAGTATAACAGCACATCTCACTCATCAACAAGGATGGCACCGTCTGAAGCACACAAGGACGACAATGAAATAAATGTAAAGGTCAATCTTAAACTACGAGAAAAAAACAAAAGAAAGTATCCCAAAATAGAGGAGAACGACAAGGTAAAAGTGTTCCAAAAGAAAAGGGGTAATTACACCGACAGAAAGGAGTATAACTCTAAATGGTCTAATAAAATATTCAATATTGATAAAATTGAATATGATATTATGGGTAATAAAACTTACAAAGTAGCAGGAATAAACAAACCGCTTTTGAGACACGAAATTTTGTTAGTTAATGATTAAACGTATTTCTTGGTATCTTCTTTATACTTGACTTGATAGTAATCCAGACTTGATTGTTTAGGTTCTTTTATGATTTTTTCATTCAGTTTTTTAACATAAATGTTTCGTTTATTTTTGTATTCGCTACTGTCTCTATCTACTTCTTTTGCTTGATAATTGTTATTGTTATCATATGTAGGTTTAATATTCAAGCTCTTTAAGATTTTCAGTATGTTTTCATTTTGCTCCAACACTTTTTCTAATCTTGGAAACAACAACTCTAAACTACTGTCAATGTTCGCTAAATGTTCCTCCATATATACTAAATTATAAAACTAAACTTTTAAAACTAAATGTTGCAATTATGTTAAATCTACTCTTTAAATACTAATTTTTCATTATTTGTTTAACAGTTTCCTGAGTTTCCTTATCACCATTATCTGATGGTGATGCATGTCTTCCCCATTTGATAGCAATATTATGAACATCTGTTTCTAAGTTTATACTGTCTTTAGTTTTATCAATATTCATTTTCTTATCATTTTTACTTATTTTGAAACTTGCCGGAATACACGAACATTTACAGTTTCCTTTCTTTTGTATTTCTAATTCATTCTTCATTTCTAACATCTTCTTACACATTGGACAAGCAAACTCAATAACTGATGTTTCTTTAACAATTTCTTCTTTTTCTTCATCAGTTGAAGAAACACTTAAACCTGTCTTATTCTTTTTGTTTTTCTTTCTTGGCATTTATATTAATATTTACATTTTTATTTTTGATATATTGAATTCCTAGCTTAATTAATTCTAATGAATAATAACAACATTTCTTAATTTTATTATCGGTTATTATTACTTGTTCTATATTCTCCACTTCATCTATTATATTAATATAATCTGTATAACTCCTTTTCATATGAAATAATAAGATAAATTATTTTTTCATTTCTGTCTTTCTTTTCTTATAAAGTTTTTTCATTGTATCGTCTTTATTCCATCTATATTCCACAAATTTCTGATGATGTTTTGAATTTAGATGTTTAAATAAATATTTGTCATCATAAGTTTTACCACAACTGCAATGGTTAATGGTCATATAAATAGTAGCATATAAAATAATAAATATAAAATATTTTCTAAATAACTTTAATATTATTTTATTATGTCTGATGTTCCAATAATAAAACCAATAAATATAACTGATTA